TTTATTTGGTGCTGAGGATCGAACACAGGTCCCACCCGTGCTAGGTGAGCGCTCTACCGCTGAGCTACAATCCCAGCCCCAACTATTCCATTTTTAATAAGGGACTTGAACATCCTTGGAGTGTGTATATAGCATTATAAATTTTTAAATTCATAATCCCCTTCATCCACAGTTTTGCTTTCTGTCGTTTTAGTTACAGTCAACCATGGTCTGAAAATATTAAATGGAAATTTCCAGAAATAAATAAGCAATTCACAAGTTTTAAATTGCTTGCCATTCTATACAGACAAGCACCCTGAAAAGCTGTCCCTTTGCAAAAAGAAACTTACATCTACATTGGTAAACAGCAGATGCAAACAGAGGCTTTTCTGATTACTACCTCCCCCCCACCCAATCTGCTTAGGAAAGACCTTGGACAAGAGGGGATTGGGGTCTGACACCTGGCCCAGGCAGAGATTACCACAGGTGATCTTCCAATGGCTGCTACCCAGAAGACTATCTGGAGAATAAGACAACCTCTCTGAGATCCAGTTTCCTTCCCTCACTCTTTCATTACTTGCCTTAAAACCAGTTACAAGAAGCTTGAAGCATCTACACTATATAAATTCCAACCATCTGGCGCTCCTTTGAGTTTTCTATTTTGCATGACTCCCTTACTTATGCAAGTTAATTTATTATTCTTGTCTTGTTAATGTCTTTTGTTATAAGGGTGTCTTCCATGACCTGTTATGATGTGAGGGAAGGGACCACCCCCTGTTCTGCCCCTACACCCTCTTCCCCACCACAATCATAGTTTCCCTTATTATTACCATTCTATATTACTGTGGCACATTTGTTACAATTGATTTACCAATACAGAAACATTAGTAGGTCTTTGCTTACATTGGGATCCACACTCTCCAGTTGCAGTTTTTTGGGTTTTGACAGAAATTTCACTCAGAATTTTACCACCTTAAAAATGCAGTTATCGGTCTGGGGTTGTGGCTCAGCGGTAGAGCGCTCGCCTCACACTTGTGAGATCTTGGGTTGGATCCTCAGGACCACATAAAAATAAATAAGTGAAATAAAGGTATTGTATCCAACTACAACTAAAAAATAATATTTTAAAAAAATGCAGTTATCCTCCCTGATCCCCTAAAACCTTGACACCTACCAATTTTTTTTAATTGTCTATAGCTTTGCCTTTTTCAAAATGTCACATAATTAGAATAAAGTATATGGTGTTTTCAGATTTTTTTTCCCCACTTAGCAATATGCATTTAAGATTCCTCCATGTCTTTTTGTGGTTTGAGGGCCTATTTCTTCTTATCACTAAATAATGTTCCACTGTATGGATGTACCACATTGTACCAGAGTTCATTCATTCATTTATTCAAGGACATTTTGGTTGCTTCCAACTTTGGGTAATCTAAATAAAGCTGCTATAAACATATGTATGCAGGATTTTATGTGGACATGTTTTCAACCCTGCGATGGTTTGGATATGGTTTGAGGGTATCCCCCAAAAGGTTTATGTGTGTAGAAGCTGGTCCTCAATATGGTGATCTTGAAAGGTGGTGTAACCTTTAAGAAGTGGGACCTACTGGAAGGGGTTCAGGTTATTAGAGGCACTGCTCTTGGAAAGAATTCATGTAGTACTCATATTGTTGTTTCCATGAGAGTAGACTGTTATAAAAAGAGTGAACCTGGCCTCTGACCTCCTGTCTTACCAAGCAGATTATTCACTTGTACTTCCATTGTGACCCAATTTGCCATGTTGTGGTAGAGCCAACAGGGACCCATCAGAGGCCAAATAGACAAGACCACCCTATCTTGGACTTTCAGCTTCCAAATGGGAAGCTAAATTGACCTCTTTACAAGTACCCAGTGTCAGGTATTTTGTTACAGCAACAGAAAACTATGATAAATTCATTTGGTAAATACCTAGGGGTTATGTTTAGCTTTGTAAGAAAATGTCAAACTTCCAAAGTGGCTCCCACTGACATGAATGAGAGTTCCTGCTGCTTTAAGTCTTCCCTAGCACTTGGTATCCTCAGTGTTTTGCATTTTCAGCCATTCTAATAGGTGTGTAGTGGGCATATATGTGATATATACTTTTCATAGGACTATATACATATGCAACACAATTCTGTAAAAGGAAAGCAAGAAATAGTAAATGAAAAGCCAGGCACAGTGGTGCACACCTATCATTCCAGTTGAAACAGGAGGATTTCAAGTTCAAGGCCAGCCTCAAAATTTAGCAAGATCTTGTCTCAAAAAAATTTTTATTTATTTTTTTTAATATTTTATTTTTTAGTTTAAGGTGGACCCAATATCTTTATTTTTATTTTTATGTGGTGCTGAGAATCGAACCCAGTGCCTCACTCATGCCAGGCGAGCACGCTACCACTTGAGCCACATCCCCAGCCCCTTGTCTCAAAATTAAAAAATAAAAATAAAAAAAAAAAAAAGCTGGGATTATAACTCAGTGGTAGAGTGTTTTGGGGCACATTCTGAAGTACTGCAATAAATAAACAAACAAGTACACAGGATGATGGTTACCCAAGGTGAGGGGGATAAATAAGTACTGTGTGTGACACATACCATACATTTAGATGTAAATTGCTGTGATGACTTTTTAAGATTTGCAGCTATTACATTAAGTTCCTAAATTAGCAATAAGTAAACTGATATTGCCCACTGAGGTGTCTATGTCCTAATCCCTAGAACATATGAATGTTTTGGTTTTTTGTTTTGTTTTGTACTGAGGATTGAATCCAGAGATGCTTCATCTTGAGCTACATCCCCAGCCCTTTTGATTTTGATATAGGGTCTCACTTAGTTGCTGAGTTCTGGGCTGGAGATGTAGCTCAGTGATACACTTGCCTAGCATGTGCAAGGCTCTGGACTTAGTTCCCAGCACCATAAAATGTATAATAGATATATAGATAAAGGATAACATTAAAAAAAAAAAAGTTGCCAGGCGCAGTGGCACATGCCTATAATCCCAATGGCTCAAGAGGCTGAGACAGGAGGATTGGGAGTTCAAAGCCAGCCTAAGGAACTTAGTGAGGTGCTAAGGAACTCAGTGAGACCCTGTCTCTAAATAAAATACAAAATAGAACTGGGGATGTGGCTCAGTGGTCAAGTGCCCCTGAATTCGACCCCTGGTACCCTTTCCCCCCAAAAAAAGTTGCTGAGGCTGGCCTCAAAATTGTGATTCTCCTGCTCGGCCTCCTGAGTCACTGGGATCACAGATGTGTGCCACTGCTCCAAGCTGAATGCTTTGTATATAAAAGGGGACTTTGCAGATTCGATTGAGGATCTTCAGATGCAAAGATTATCCTGGTCAAAGTAATCACCTAAAATCATTGAAAGTAAGAAAAGGAGGCAGGAGGACCAGCCAGAAAGACAGCATTGAAGGAGAGAAGATATGCAACAGTTTTTGAAGATGGAGAAAGGGGCTAAGAGTCAAAAAATCAGGCAGTCTTTAGAAACTGGAAAAGACAAACCAGCCCTGTCAACATCTTGATTTTAACCCAGTGAAACTGAACTTGGGCTTGTAACCTCCAGAATTCAGATAATAAATTCATGTTGTTTTAAGTCTCTAAATTTACACTAATTTGTTATAGTGGCAACAGAAAACTAATACACTGGGCTAGGCACTGTCAGTGAATTGGATTATGATTAATCCAATTCTGTACCTAAGTCCAAGTTAAAAAATAAATAGCTTCAACTTTTCAATGGTTCCTCACTGCTTGGAAGATAAAACTCCAACTCCTCAGCATGGCATAGATCCTTGACAACATGGTTCTACAGGCCCAGGCTTAAATCTCTAGCATTGAAGACCAACTCTACATTGTTGCCAACACTCCCACCCCTAGACCCAGACATTTTACCCATAGATGCTGGCCTCTGAACCCTTTAGCTATTCCCATTGAGTCTTATGGGGCTCGACTCCTCTGTCAACCGTTCTATGAAGTCCTCCAGGTTAAAATCTCCCTCCCCACCAATTGACAGTACCATGCGTTGCTGCATGGTTGATGGTGCCTACAAGATTAGGATCCGATGGTACCTGCAGAGGTCTTCAGAAACAACTCTGTTAACTGAGAACTGTCAGGTCAGGCAAGAGACAAGTCCTCTCTTCATCTCCACCCTTCACTCATCCACAAGAGCAGCTACAAATTGTGTGCTTTTTCCTGTCGGTGCTGAGGAGGTAAAGAAGCATACAGAGAACTGGTGTGTGTGTGGGGGGGGGGGGGGGGGGGGGGGGCTGCAGAGCTAATTTGAACGTGGCTTTCCACTTCTTCAAGCAAGACTTCCTTCCCCACATGGCTGATGTCTGTAAACACAACCTTAAATCTATGCATTTCTGTTAAAAGACTTTTACTTCTACGATTAAATACGGGGGGAAGGAGGGCAAGTCATTCAAATGGACGGTTGCTCGTCTCACCCGCTAACCCGACGAGATATGAAAGGTAGGCAGCCCTCCGAAACATACAGCAACCTACCAGACTATCTCGGCTAGGAATTCCTATCTGCGGGAAAAGGCGCCCCAAAGACGCGACCGGCCCCTGGGGAGCCCACGGTCCGTCGAGTCCCGCCAGGTGCCCGCCAGGCCAGCCTCTCTCGGGCCAGGCGCGAGTTGGCGGTTGATGACCGCGGGCCAGCCGTTCTGCCTCCAGAGGAAGGCCGGCAGGGCCTGATAGCTCTGACAACACGCGGAGCCGGCGCAACGCCTGGGCCGCAGTTGAAGAAACCGCTCTTGGCCAGGACGGAGGCGGAGCCGACGCTGACGCCCGGCCAACAGAAGGGCCTTAAGATGCCTGGAGCGGACCTGAAGCCGCCCCCGGCGCGAGGCACGCTGGGACTTGTAGTTCACTTCCAGGACAGCGACTCTCCCACTCGGCCGGCCCGCGTTTTACCGTCGCTTGTTCTCTTCCCTCCCCTCCCGGCACGCCGACTTCCTGGTGGCCGCACGCCCTCACGTACGACTACACTACCCAGAAGTCTCTACTGCGCGTCCCGGCGCGGCGCGGGGTCTCCTTCGGACTCCAGTTCCCAGAAGTCTCCTGGAAAGTGCTTCCCTCGCTCCTTCCCAGGACCGCGATTCCCAGAGACTTCACTTCACGACGTTTCTCTTTTTGCCCGATCTCTGCTGGAACTGGCTGGGGTTCGGTCGGACGGCCAGCAGACAGGCTCTCGGCGACAACGGGGTCGTCGTGAACCGGCACAGGGCTTGCTCGGCGGCCTGGCTTTCTGCCCCCCTCAGCTCTCCCGGGGCAGGCCGTCGCGGCTGGCCTGAGCGGTGACCTGGCGGGCTGCGCCTGCGCCCTGCCCCGTTTCCTGCCTGGCTGGTGGCGGCGGCCATTTTGTTCATCCTCCTCCTCCTTCTGCTCCTCCTGGTTGGAGCGCAGTGTCCGGAGCGGGCTGGGGGGAGAAAGCCCTAGAGCAGGGTTCGGTGCCTTTTCCTCTGTCCCCAGCCGGTGCCCGGAGCCCCCCTCCCCTTCCTCCCCACCCCCTCCCCTCCCCAACCCTGCCCTCCCCCTTGTCCCGGGATCGCTCCGTCGCACCCACCATGATGGAAGACGACGGACAGCCCCGGACTCTGTGAGTACCCGAGACCGGGGGTGCCGGGAGCCTAGAGGCCCGGGCACCGCGGGACGCTAAGGGAGGGAGCAGGAGACAGGGGGCCGAAGCCGGGACTCTCGGCGGCTCCCTGGCTGGGGCGGCGTGGACGCTAAGTGCATTCCTCATGTGTCCCCTTTTCCTAGGGAAGGAAGCCCTCCCTGCCCCCAAACGCAGTCACTTCCTGGGGTCTGAGGCTTGTCCCGACCTTTTCCTCTCGCGCCCTTCTTCGCGCACCTTTCCTAGGCCTGGCTTCTGCATCCGCTGAGGCTGTCAGGCCCGAGAGAGCTTCTGCTCCCCCTGTGCTTGGGGGCCCTGGGCTGGGCCGGGAGCTGCCGGTCCCCACGGGGGCTGGGCCTGGTGGGGGTGGGACTGGGGGTGGGACCGTCGCTGCATCCCTTGCGGGCCCGGAGGAATTAGCGCTCACGCCCTCCATGTCCCGGGTTTGAGGCGCCCCCGTCTCTTTGCCCGAACTCGGCTCTCGGAGGAAGCCAGACACTCTTCAGCCACGGGAGCCCCTTGTCTCTTTCTGCCCCACGTGCCCCCGCCCACGCTGTCAGAAACACCCGCCCAGCGCCCGCTACTTTTGAAGTGCAGGCGGAATGCCTCTGGCCGCTGCAGCATCGCTCCCTTCTCGGAGAGCGAAGTTTACTTTGAGCGCGCCCTGCGCCAAACTGACAACCAGTTGTTACACTCTTTTTTGCTGTTTGGTGTTGCCGCCTCCTAATCGGTGTGTCGAAATCATCAGAATCAGATAGAATAATGTCTTCGTTCGCTATACGATGCGTGTTTTGGGGGCGCTTCTTTGGTCTTGCTGTTGCATTTTGCCCAAAGCCCAATCTAATGAATGGATTTCATCTTCCAACCACCTAATTCGATTTTTCCTTCCTTTTCCAATGAAGAGTGATGACTCAGCAATTACATTTCTTTCTGAATAGCGTGGCACTCTTTTTCTTCTCTTGTATCTTTTTTAAAAATTTTTATTTTTAGTCTGAGTTATTTCTAATTCAGTGTTTAAATTGCGCACCTTTGGCATTCCCAGCCTCTGAGGCCCAGTTCTCCTACCCTGAGTTACAGGGAGTCCAATCTCTGCTTTGTTTCCCTTGCCTGTGCCTGATATTGATATGATCAGAGTTCACTTGGCTGGGTTATCTGCTGGGGAAAGTACTTTTTGGGGAATAGATGAAGGTAGATGGACACTCAGGAGGTTGATTAGCTTCTCAAAACTTCACTCCTACCAAAAAAAGTATACACTCCCTAAAGAAGGTAGACTTCTGTGTTCAAACTTGATTTTTTTTCGCCTGTATTTTCTTTTTGTTCCTATTTCTTTTAGTGTCTTACTCTAAAGTACTTGTCATCCTGTTTTGGGAATTTAAGGCCAATTTAAGCACATCTACTACTTGAATGAAAGGCTTGCTCAGTAGAACTTTTTTGTGTTGTCTTCCATTTTTTGCCCATCTTCCCAGAAAACAGAATTAGGACAAACTTGAAATTTGTCCTCAACATCTGTTGAAGCCAAAGCTTGGTAGTTAACATCTGGGAAAGTTAGATTTAGGGACTATCATGTATTTAAGGAAGATAACAGTTATATTGTATCTGAAATATCATCATCGCATCATAATAACTATTGAATAATTGATAATTTCTTATGGTTAATGTCTCATTTAATTGTATCATTTGTTCCCAAGAAGAGGAATTCCTGGTTTTGTCCTTCTAAATAATGTACTTTTTCAGTATCTTTCATTCATATAGTTATCTATGCATCTGCCTTGTTTTCATTTCTATTGTACCTTCTCCAGTAATCTAATAAGCTAATTCTTTGTTACTTCTTACCACTACCTTTTCCAGTCTCTTGTCCTTCCTCTGAAACATACTTAAGTTGTCTGTGTTTATTATATTTATCTAAAAATGTGACATGTATACATAGGAGTAAATAAAAAATCTAAGCTCTGTTATTTCTCAATGTAGTACATGTTTACAACTCTCCTTTATTCTTCCTTTTTCCTTCTCCCACTTTTCCTCCATGGGAAGGTTTTTATTGTTTAAGATAAGGACTGCTACATCTTCCTAGGTCTTACCCCTTAAGCACTTAGTTCACTGCTGGGAACGTAAGAGGTACTTAATAAACATTTTACAATGATTATATTTCTCTCATTAAATCAGTTTTAAGTCCCTTTTTAATAGTCCTGATTGATTTAAATTATAGGCAGACATTATTGTCATACTTTGTGCAGTTGATTTGTGTGTGTGTGTATATATAATATATATATTAAAACCTTCAAATGTAAAATCTTGAGATAAAATCAAATGTTTCACAATTCAGATTTTTGCAAGCATTTAATAAAATTAATGCATAATTTTAAAAAGTATACATTTTATATATTTCTGAAAGGGCTCTTTTAGATACAAATAATGTAATGGAAACTGAACATGATTTTAGAGGTTGTTATCTAGTAAGGTTTGGTTTTGTTAGTTTATGGAGATCCTATGTTTTGCCTTGTGATCTATGGATGAGCTTTTCAAGTGGCTAGTATGTTTTTAAAGAATGTACTCTTAACAAAACTTATCTTAAGCTGTTTTCCTTAAAATGCCTGTGTGTTACTAGTGAGGTTTTTTTCCTGCAGACACACACAAGCTAAGACATATGGTTCTATCTTCAGAAAACAATATGGTGTTTATAGCCTAGGTAGGTCTTTAAATATTCATTACCTACAGTATTACTAATTTATTTGATGGTATTTAAATGGTATAGAATTGCTTTGATGTTGAGCTTAAAGTTCTGTTTATCATATAGTTGCTTTAAAGGACTGTTTTTTCATTCTCATTTGACATTTATTTTGGGATATTATGTATTGGCTAACTTGTGATCTTAAAAAAATAAACAAGATCATGCTGTGTAATACTGGTGTTTGAAAGTGGACAAGCCTTTAGGACATAAGTTGCAGGCTTGTGTGTATTTTTATAGTACAGTGATTTGATCCATGGTATATCTGAATCTACAATATGACACTAAATTACATTAGTGTTACACTATAGTTTATTTTACTCAGCTATTTGATGTACCAAAATCAATAGGAATTGTGGTTCTGGGATAATAATAATCATGTTATATAATGCCATCCTTTGAGGCTATTGGTTCTTCCTGATACTCACTCAAAAATAGGGAAATCTATGATTTAGAGTATAATATGAACATCTAAGAACACAGCAGAAGGAAATACTATAAAATCTAGTTATAAAACTGAGTAGCTATACCATGGATTTGGCTAAATTGTGGCTGTAATCAAGCCCTTCATTCAATTTAATCATAGATTTTATTGTTGCTGTATTTTTTTTAAGTGTGTGTGTGTGTGTGTGTGTGTGTGTGTCCGTCCCTTATAGATAGATGGTCAATTCAATGGTACCACCTGCACCTTTCCTCCTTCTGACCTCCTTCCACAGTACTGACAAACTGAACATTCATTAGCTGTCTATTAAAGGGTATTGTTGCAAAATCTCTTGTATAGGAACTTGTCAAGAACAAAAGCAAAAATGTTAGTTTTATGGAAATATGACCATAGTATTTTGTGTAAAACTGCTGGTAATTTTAGCCTTGGTAGGGCTATTCTTTGCAGAGAGAGCACATTCAGTGTTGAAAACTATCATTAGTCTCCTGTAAGTCATGATGTTCTTTAACTTAAAATTCTGCCCAGTTGGACATATGAAGTAGTTTGGCAGTGTGAACTTCTGCCTACTGTGAAACTGCCAAGTCTCTGGTCTCAAATTGGATTTTAACCCTAATGTTAGGATAAAGGTATCATTTTCAGTTTTTAATACTTCATTTCCTGTTCTTAGAAGACAAAATAGAGTGTCAGGTATGCCTTTTTTTTTTTTTTTTTTCAGTGAGATAAAAAACATTTTGGAATTTCTTAAGTGTTCTCTCTTTTGAATTGACCTCTCACTATAAGAACTCAAATCATTTGTCTTTTTTGTTGTTTTATTATTTTGTATAGGTTCTTCAAGTAGAATTATATATTTTTAAAAAAAACTTGAAATTTTAGAATATGTTGACTACTTCATAATCAAAGCAGAAAGAAAGTGAAATATAGAGGCTGTCATTTGAAAATAAAAACAGATTTTCAGTAAACTACCAAAAGATGATGCTTACTAGGTTAACAATTGAAATTTGTCTTATTTTTATTAGTATTTATTTCAGGACAGGTTATTTCATGATAATGTAAAGGTACTTAAGCAGTATAGTAAAGTGTTTTAAAAGCTACAAATTGTGCCTCTATTAAGTATTATGCATGAAGGCATATGTAAATACATGAATTATATAATTCTGAGTAAAAGAAAAAGCAGTCTGAAATTTGGGTGAAATTTAGGGGAAATTATATAGTGAATTATGTTCTTTTTATCCTGGTAAATTAAGATGTTCTACATGTTGTTATGGAAGGCCTTTTATGTTACTTTTTGTAATTTAGTTTTCTGCTTTTTTGTTTTGAGATGGGGTCTCATAAGTTGATGAGGCTGTCCTGGAACTTGTGATCCTTCTGCATCAGCCTCCTGAGTTGCTGAGATTACAGGCGTGTGTCACCATGGCCAGCTCTTTTAGAAATAAATTAACTAGCCCTTTAGGTTAGATGAACATAGAATTTAGAATATTAGCATCACTTGTTCATTTTTCTTATAGATACATCTCCTGTGTTTAAAAAAAAGGAAAGAAAAATTATTCCATGGATACAGGCTCACAAATCCCTGTGAGTTTAAAAAAAAAAAAAAAAAAAGGAGGCAGTTGTCTCTGGCTAACTCAGAATTCTTTAATCTTTCACTATTGGTGGAAAAAATAAGTCATTGCATTGGCCTACACTTTTAATAATAAGGAAAAAATGGCATACTGGACCAAAACCAATTTGTCAACTGTTTTGATTTTCTATTTAAGTAATATAGGACTTATATTTCAGTTTTAGAACATATGTCCTACGGTTATTAGTACCCATTAGGGTGAAATTCTTTTTTTTTTTTTTTAATATTTATTTTTTTAGGTGTAGATGGACACAACATAATGCCTTTATTTATTTTATGTGGTGCTGAGGATTGAACCCATGCTAGGCGAGCACTGTAACTCTGAGCCACAATCCCAACCCCTAGGGTGAAATTCTTAATCTTAGCTTTCTCAAATCTGTTTTTCCCTTTTAGTATATTCCATCTTAAAGCAGTTATGTATTTAATGTGGCAACTATGTTGCAAAGCTTCTTTTGGTCTCAGTACTCAAGTTTCCAGATGTTATATATTATGGTTAGGAAAATAAAACTTATATCCATTTACCTTCCAGAAGAAACTATGTTAAATTTTACAAGTACTTTTTAGTTTATGAGGTTTGTTCATGACAGAAGTAAGTTTTAGGAACTATTTGCTGAGTACCAGAAATATTCAAAAGTTTGACAGTATACTGACATAATTGAATCAGTGTGCAAAACATAAATCAAAGTGGCATCTCTTGGTGGTAAAGTAGTGATTTTTCTTTATTTAAAAAAAATTTATACAAAATGTGTATGTTTAATCTGTAATCTGGGAAAAAAACCCAAATATTTAAATATCTATAGTCAACAGTATATCTGAATTGGTCTCAATTTTTCTCTGAATTTCAAAGAAGTCTTTTATGTTTGCTTTATTTGTTACCTGCATAAAAATGCATTTTTTGTTGATTCTGCTTTATTTACTTATTTGTGTGTGTGTGTGTGTGTGCGCGCTTGCGTGTGTGTAATTACTGGGGATTAAACCCAGTGGTTTGTGCATGCTAGGCAAATGCTCTACCATTGAGCTACATCCCCAGCTCTTTTTATTTTATTTTGACACAGGGTCTTGCTAATTTGCCGGGGCTGGCCTTGAACTTGCGATCTTCCTCCCTAAGCTTCCTGAGCAGCTGATTTTACGGGCGTGTGTCCTCACACCCATCTCAGATGCATTTTTTACCAGAAAAATCTTATTTTACCTTATTCTCCTAAAACAAAGCAATGAAGACATACCATTTGCAAACAGTCTTATTTAGCCAACACTAAAACAAAACTCCTCCATTCTTTATGTGTTTTGCTGTAACTTTATTCATCTCTGTTCTTTGTTCATGTAATTGCCGTGGTTGGCATTTTTAAATAAACCCACTGTATCTCTAATAACTTTTTATGATCAGTTGTTTTAGTATTTGTCATATTATGTCTATGCTATGAATTATTTTGATAGAAATTGTCATCATGAGACTGGTTAGAATAAGGAAATGATATATAGGGTATAGAATAATATATATGCCTTTGGGCATATGTATTCATATATAAGATCATATTGATTTGTTCTTTACAACATCTTTGAATTTTAGTGGGAAAGGAACAATTGTTTTCCTTAATAAGGGTTAATCTTACTTTGATAGGATCAGGCTTACTTTGAAATTTTTACTGAAGACACAAGAAGTTAAGTTGAAAAAAAAGGTGATAAATTAAATGATAACACAGAGCCAGAGTTAAAGGTAAATTGCTGATAATATATATATATTTTTTCTCATTCAGATACGTAGGTAACCTCTCCAGAGATGTGACAGAAGTCCTTATTCTTCAGTTATTCAGTCAGATCGGACCCTGTAAAAGCTGTAAAATGATAACAGAGGTAAGATCTTCCCAATTATATGTGCTCTCAGTTAGTATGATGTTGAACATTTTGAAATTTATTGGTTGATTAGTATCATTTTTTAAAATTTATTTTAAGCCTCAGGTTATTCTGGTGGAGAGATCAGTGACTTATTTGATTTGGCTGGTAAATGAGACTTGGAATGGAGTCTTGAAAGGGCAAAGTTTCTGTGCTCTTATTCTAACACAGTCATTCTTTGTGATGTAGTTATCTCTAAGTGATTTTACTTGTAAACAGCTTATCTCAGAATGGTGAAAAACTTGATGGTATATCGTATAATTCCAATTAGAATGTTAATAATTCAGGTAGCATTCATTTAAAGTTCAGGAATTGGTGTATGTGAAAGAATATTAGGTTATTATGTGCATAGTAAAGCAACATGTGTCATGTGCATTTTTAGTAAATATTAATGATCACACAACTTAAGTAGTTAGGCATTTAAATTGTTAGAATAATTTGTTGAGGCTGGGCATGTGCAGGCGCTGGATTCAGTTGACTGTAGTGATACCCAATGATTCACATTTTAGTTATTCTTTTCTTCCTGTCTTTTTGTTTGTTCATCAACATGTTTTTTGACTATTATGTACCAGATACTGCGGTAAGTACAAAGGATACAGTAGTGAATAAGACAATTCCAAGACCTTTAGTACTTCACAGCTTAGTAGGGAAATAGAGAAGTTAACGGGTACTTAGAATATAAAATAATAATGTATGCAGTGTGGTTCGAAATCAGGGAGGCTTCTTGAAGATATTAGTATACAGGCTGAAACCTAAAAATATAATAGAAACTGACCAGAAAGGAATTTGGGGAAGAAGCAGTTCTAATTAGAAGAATGTTGGTCTGGGCTGGTAGACAGAACAGGAATGCTTATAAGAGGATAAAGGGGGGAAAATACAAGTCTGTTTTTTATTAGAAACCTGTATTCAATAGTAGCATGGTTGGAGTTTAAAATGGAGTTAGTTGTAAGACATCAGAAGCTGTGATAAGGAGTCGGTGTTTTATCCTGAGATGGGGATCTGTTAAAAACCTGTAAAGTGCACTGGTTTTTTTATCTTTCTTAACTCACTATAGTTATTAATCTGTGCTGGTATATTTTCCTTCTTTCTTTCCTGACTTTATTCATTCATCTTTTCATAAATAAAATGTCTACATTGCACTAGGCACTCTTCAAGGCACTGGGCATATAATGGAGAGGCAGAGAAAGGAGGTTCCCAGGCAAATAGGGATAAGAGTCATGATGAGAATAAAACAGTTCTGTGATGATTGGAGGGTTGGTGCTATGTAGGATAGGTAGGTGAGGGAAGATGTCATCTCTTTGAGCTGAGACAGTAATAACAAACAAGATGGTGCCTGTCTACAGTAAGAGCTGGAGGCAGAGGAAAAGCAAATTCAAAAGGCCTCGAGTTTGGGGGTGGGGCTGTGCTGTGGCTCAGAGGTAGCACACTTGCCTGGCATGTGTGAGGCACTGGGTTCCATTCTCAGCACCAACTTTAAATAAATAAAATAAAGGTCTATCAACAACTAAAAAAATATTATTTAAAAAAAAAAAAGCCTCGAGTTGGTAATGAGCTTGTGTTTGTGGAACCAAAGACCAGATGGCTGCAGTCTGGTGAGTGATGGAGGATAAGTGGTGGGAAACGAATCTAATAAGGTAAGCAGGATTCAGAATCACACAGGGCGGTATGGGCCATGACAGAGTTTAGGTTGCAGTGGCAGACCTTTGGAGGGGTTTTAATAGGGGGATGAAGTGCTCTGATTGGCATTTTTAAGATTACTCTGTGTAGACACTGTGGTATAGAGAAGGATCGCAGGAAGCAAAAGAAGGAAAGAAACCAACTGGGTTTACTAGTCTAGGTGAGAAGTGATAGGTTCTTGTGCTTTAGAATATGATGGATAAAAATAGGGGTAGATAAAGTTTGGAATATATTTTGAAGATAGAATCAATAGAACTGGATTGGCTGTGGGATATAAGGGAAAGGAAGAAATTAGGAAAGACCCTAAGATTCTTGTTAGTACGATTATGTGGGTGGTAATGCTGTTTACCAAAATAGGGATGACTGAGCAGGGCACAGGTTTGGGAATTAAGCATTCTATTTTGGTTGTGTTAAATTTATGTATTAGATATCTAAATGATCACTGTATATGGGCAGTTGGATTAACTAATTTGGAACTCTGGAGAGACGAGTGTTGAAGCTTGCAGCAGTATTTGAATCTATGGGACTAATTGATAGCAGAGAAGAGTAAAAGGATTAAGGTCTGAGCCCTGGAGCCTGGAACAGCTCAGCATTTAGAGTTACATTCCGACTTTGAGTTAAGGAAGAACTACCTTCAGAAAGATCCTCCACTGAGGAAACAGGAAAACTGAGTGTATGGTAGGTTGAAGAGAAGAGAATGTTTAGAGGAAGGGGAAGGTAGTGGTCGGCTATTTTGAATTCTGTCTGGAAGTCAAGATGAAAACAGAAAAGGGGTTATAGAGGTGACAGAGTCATTGGTGAGGTAATCTCAGTGACATGCTTGGGTTGGAAGCTTATAGGAGGGGATTTAGGAGAATGGGACATGAGAAAGTAGAGTCTAGAAAATTTTTGAGAAGCATTTGATAAATGTTTTAAAAATATTTTTGAAAATTCTATATGTATACATAACCATTTGAGGGTTGAAATGATTTGAAATTCGAAATTTTATCCATATTCTAGAACTCCTAGATTTGAACTTGTAAATATAAAACCTCATATTTCTGTCTTGACATTTATGTCATCCAACAAAAATAGGTGACAACACTAATTAAGGTAAGGACCTAACTGAAGATTAGAGTGTCACTTGGTGGTGGTGGTATAAATGGGAAGCTTATAAAGGGCATGGACTATAATACAGAATCTTCATCTAGGCATTTATTTTCCCTTCATAATTTTTTTCCAGTATATGAAAAATCTTTTTCCCCCTTAATTTTATGATTTTTTAACTGTAGATATTATAGATTCTAGCTTTCCCTATATAATAAAATAAAATCTATTCTACATTCTAAGGCAAACATTATATATATATATATATATATATATATATATATATATATATATATATGTGTGTGTGTGTGTGTGTGTAAGTGTGTGTGTGTGTGTGTTTGGTGGTGCTGGGGATCGAACCCAGAGCCTTGTGCATGCTAGGCAAGCACTCTACCAACTGAGCTATATCCCCAGCCCCAAACATTCAATAATTTTAACACCTCTGACACTTAGGATTTGACTTAAAAAAAAAAATCAGTTGTGCTTTAGATGAAATGCAGCACGATACGAGCATATATGTGATGTGACTATTTAAATACGTGTGTACAGTTTTTTCTCTTATCTGTGATTTTTTTTTCCCTCAGTTTTGGCTGTGGTCAACCTCAGTCCAAAAATATTAAATGGAAAATTCCAGAAGTAAAAAATTGAAGTTTTAAAATGCATATAGTTCTGAGTAGTGTGATGAAGTTTCTTGCTGTCCTGACCAGGACATGAACCATTTCTTGTCCAGTATATACATACAGGGATCTGGCTTACTACTAGTTAAGTAAATTTGATATTAGTGTGCATGTAATACACTAGTTTCTTAAAGCCTGTTTAATTTTTTTCATAGTTCTACCATTGGACCCGCATATATTTTGCCATAAATATTAAGTATTTTCTTTAGAGACCATCAGGGCTGAGGAATAGAAGGAAAAATGGACCAGCACAACTTTAATTTTTTAATTTACTTTTAAATCCATCAGAAAATGTTTCTGATAAATATTAACTCTTTTCACAAGAGGAACTTAAGTGTGTGTTTCTATTTGGAGTCTTTCCCCCCATTTCCTTTCTCTACTTCTAAAGAACAGTGTTCACATGTCTGTGACAGTAAGATCTTGTGTGAGAGCCCATAGTTTTCTTGTCAATGATAATGATCCTACTTTTTTTTTGCCTCAAAAAATTGCCTCTGCGTGCTGGGGTTGGGCTCAGAGGAAGAACGCTTGCCTAGCATGCATGAGGCACTGGGTTCAATCCTTAGCACCACATAAAAATAAAATAAAAGTATTGTGTTCTCCTACAACTAAAACATAAATGTTAAAAAATAATTGCCTCTGGTTGCTTTGTCACTATTGTTTAGACATCTTATTTTTTTTCTAATTTTTATTTATTTATTTTATTTATTTATATGTGTTGCTGAGGATTGAACCCAGGGCCTCACACATGCTAGGTGAGCACTCTACCACCAATCTACAACTCCATCCTGTAGACATCTTATTTGGGATTTTTCTTCTAAAACGCTCCTGGAATGATAAACAGTGGTTGTTTTAAAGGTCTTTATTTTATCTGGTATTTTTATTCCTTGTAGGTCAGCCCACAATTTCACATTTTAAATATATTTTTAGGGCATTTCACATTGAAGAGTGAATGTTTTTAATCTTATATTAAAAAAATTTTTGTACAGTTGTGCTACTGTCTAATATAGACTGCATGTTATAAAAATTTATTTTTGTTGTTAGCACTACTTTCTCACCCTCTTTATAAATATGTATTTGCCAACTACTATCAAGCATATATTTAACAAAGATTTTTATATATTGGTGTTTTTGTGATGACAGAATATATATATAGCTTTATCCTGGATTCTCCTCACCACCACTTTTTTTTTTTTTTTTTTGCAGTATGGGGGTCAAATTCAGAGCCTGGTACATGCTAGGCTAGTACACTACCACTGAGTATACCCCATTACTCTCCTGGACTATTGGAATATTTTATTCAGTCACATTTTTAGCAGTTATTTTCTAGTTCGCTAGTGTATTTTTTGGACTTTGGAAGACCACATTTAAAGTATATAGAATCTCCAGTACATTAGACTGTTTTGAAGGATTGCATTTTTCTATTGTTATTCTTATCCAAAAAAGGAATACATATAATCCAGTCTCAGTAGTAATACAAAAACACTTCTTATTTGTGGTACCAGTCCTGGTTTTGATCAGGAAATAAAGCTTATAAAGTTAGTTCAATTCTGTATCTTTTTATAGTACTAGAATACAGTTTGGGAAAGATTATGATACATTAGTAGAATATAATCATTTCAAAATAATTTTTGGAAGAGGAGAGCAATGATAAAGAGTGATCCTCATCAAATCTGAGTTTGAGGTTTGGTTTGGCCTAATCTATTTCATATTTAACATACTTCACTAGAATTCTATATTTTAGTTTAATTCTCAAGGTTATGATTCCATACTGCTTTCTGTTTAGTACAGTAGTGCTGTGAGGCACAAAGTGAGGTTTAGCTGTAAATCTTTTTTTTTTTTTTTTTAAGCGTTAGGCTTTCATAAGCTTTTGCAATCTCACTTTGTACATTCCTAGCTATCAGTAATGTTTTTTCCTGGATTTTCTTCTCAGCAACCCGATAGCAGAAGGGTCAACTCTTCTGTTGGATTTTCTGTTTTGCAGCATACAAGCAATGACCCATATTGCTTTGTGGAATTTTATGAACACAGAGATGCAGCTGCTGCATTAGCTGCTATGAATGGGAGAAAAATTTTGGGAAAGGTAAGGTAATAGAATGGTGACGCCTTATGAGTACATATATTTGCATGTTTATATTCTTTCTTAGCAAGTTTTTAAACAGATATTGAACTGCTGATTGATGGTTTTGCTTTATTCAGCCTAGTGCTTTTACAAAAATAATCCGCTTGATAAATGGTTTATTAAGTGGTAAGTGTTATAAATGCATAATGACATGCTTAATAATTGTATTAAATATAATCTTTATTTTTAGGAGGTCAAAGTAAACTGGGCAACAACACCAAGTAGCCAGAAAAAAGATACTTCCAGTAAGTACTCCTGCTGCGTTTACTGTGGAAGAGTTCTGAAATTTTCCTGGCAGCATTACCAGCTTAACTAGGGTTTTTTTTCCTCCTTAGTGTTGCCTAAAAAAGGTTTAGTAGCTGACTTCTTAAGTATTTGATTACCAAATGCTCTGATTTCAGATCACTTCCATGTATTTGTTGGGGATTTGAGTCCAGAAATTACAACAGAAGATATCAAATCAGCATTTGCCCCCTTTGGTAAAATATCGTAAGTATCATAATCAGTACTACACTCAACAGTGATAGGCAAAATTGTATATGATTAACTTGTATTGGAAATAAGATTTTCTTTCTCTAGTTAGTGTACTTTTCTTTTGCTTTTTGATTTTCTTTTTTTGGTTTTGTTTTTTGAGTAGATGTTGTTGCAAATGTTGCTGTCATTTCAATGTTTTGGGGTCTTGTTTTCATATAATCCTGTGTATAATATGTTTTAAAAATTTAAGTGATTCTGTTTGTTATCTTTGAAGCACATGTTTAGGTGGTAAAACTTACAAAGTCCAACTTTTTGTCAAATGTTAAGAAAAATGGGTTAACAAAAAGCAAATGTGATTATACTGTGTTACACTTTTATTGGAGGAATTGATAAGTGGGGGAAGTAGTTAAATCTTTGGGTATATTGGTAAAATTGAAAATGTTCATGTTTAAATGTGATGATAAATGTGTTTTGATATCTTAGGTATAAGTAAAAAGTAGTACTATTACAGTATTAATGTTTCATGTCTGAATTATAATGTGGGACTAATTAATAGATGTTTTTTGTTAGTGATATTTGATTCTGCTAGTAAGGGGACAAATATGGTTTGATTTTTAACAAAATTTATGCTCAAATTTTACTGTTACTTGATAACTGTATTGGAAAATTAAAAATGGTTATAAGTTGTATAAAGTATTTATCACCGTTTGTCTTTCTAATTAAAATCAGTGTATTTGATATATTTCCTGTAGATGTAAATTAAACGTTTTAGTACTACTTTACAGAAACGTGTTTCAATTAAGAACAACAACTTTTTTCTTTGTATAATTTGTTGTTCTGTAGATTTAATTTATTTGAAGGAAAGATTTAATTCTTAATTTTCTATTTTGATATTTGCTTTGCTTTTTAATCTAAATGTGGTAAGTAGTACTGTTTTAAAAATCAGTATAAAAATAACAGGTTGCTGTTTTTCAATCTTTATTTATACCTGAGACCTGCAGTTTTCTAAAGTCCAAGTCACAATTAAAAGTAATAGCATTCTGGTTATTTTGCAGAATTGCTCATAAGAATGGACAGGATCTTGAAGGCTAACTGCAAGGAACTGTGCACACTGGAACTCAGTTGTAGATTTTTTTTCTCATTTCTATTTATTCTTATTATACATTATTTATATATACATATTTTAGTATTTACATTTTAACATTCTATATTCAGTGGAGTTCTATATTTCCAATCATTTTAACTTACTCACTAAAATTTCTGTGTAAATTTGTTGTTTTCGTACTGGTGTGCTTAGCATTGTTGTTAGTTTTTTATTCTCCTTTCTTAAATTTCTGAAAATGTCAATTTTTCAAAATTTACAGCTGCCCAAACTCCAAAATGATGATAGAGAATTGACCAAGAAAAATAAAGAAATCTGTTAACAGGCCATGTATGCCTTTTTAATTCCTATTTTTTCCTCTTTTTCAATTTTTTAATATTTCATATATTTTGTATCACTAGGCAGAAGACATTTAACTATTTAGAGATTGCATGGTAAAGTAGTTAGCATTGTTACAGTAATTTATAGAATCAGTAAATCTTAGAGGACACTAGCAAATAGAATATTAGAAAAGGAAACTATTGTTCCTATTAAGCTTCAAATTTGAGCATTTAGTTTAGAAAGCACAGGCTATTTGATTAGGTTGCATGTTTATTACATGTTTTTGTCCTACTGCTTTTTTCTAACAGGTAAAGAAGCATTAGGGAGAGTTCAGGAATGGCTGTAGTTAATTAGGGCTAACTGGAATTTTATTTTAAAAAATGCTCACAATACAGTGTGTGTGGTTCCTTTTAGTTTTTATTTTGAGGGTGACTCTTACTTCCCTCATTTAGCTGTGCTTCTTTTCACAGGGATGCCCGGGTAGTTAAAGACATGGCAACTGGAAAATCCAAAGGCTATGGTTTTGTATCTTTTTATAACAAACTGGTACGTTCTTTCAACCCAATTTAAATTTAAAATATATATATATTTTTAGCAATAGAGGGACATAACTTTGTTTATTTTTATGTGATGCTAAGGTTCGAACCCAGTGCCCTCCTGTATGCTAGGCTGGCACGCTACCACTGAGCCAAACCCCAGCACCCAGTTTAAATTCTTTAATTCTAGATTTAATCACTAGTTAATACACAGTAGCTGAAATTTGAAAGTGCTTGGTTATTAACTACAAATCCAACCTCAACATAAATTTTTTTTGTGTGTGTTAATAGTAGAATATAATTCATTCTTTCATAAACCTGAAAGTAAATAGCTGAGATAGGGTGATTACACTCTAAGGACAATTATTAAACTTGCACTTGTGCATTAATGAAGGTAAAATGTGTTATAAATCAAGCGTAAGACTAGGACAAGTGAACTAATATGGAAATTTGGAGGGGGAAAATAAATTATATTGAGTCTTATTTTTTTGTCAGGGTGTGGGGAGTGCGGGAGAGTCCTGGGGATTGAACCCAGGTCTTTTTTAATTTTTATTTTGGGTCAGGCTCTCGGTGTTGGTGAGGGTCTCACTGAGTTGCTGAGGCCAGCCTTAAATTTGATGATTCTCCTTCATTGATTCTTGATTCTCCCAAGTCCCAGGGTTTCCAGACATGCGCTACTGTGCCCAGATTATATTCAGTCTTAATCATGATCTCAGTTTTCATTCTTTATTTGAAATTATCCATACTTTTATAACTGGTATGTTATTGAACTGAAAATTTAAGCAATTTTTCTTGAATGACTTTTTTTAAGAAAGATGATGTACCAAAGTACCTAAGCATTTGCATTTATTATAATATTCAGTAATAAAATAGAGTTTAGTTCGGTTTCAACAACTTAAATTACCTACATTTTATTGAAGGGGTATGATAAAATTACCAGTTATATTCTATCTTTGCATAGATTAATCTCAGGTTCATATTAATTTGGATAACCTAAGCTTTTTTGTGTGTGTGTGGTGCTAGGAGTTGAACTCATGGCTTGCGTAATAGTCAGGCATTGTACTGCTGAGCTATAATCCCTCACCCTAAACTTATTTTTTGTTGATACATTTTTTAGCATTATAAGTCATAATTTAAAAGTCTTCCATCTTAAAATATTTTAAATCTCATGTCATAGTCATAACTCATACTAATAGAATACATTGTAGATTTTGAGGGGTAGGCAATTTAGACTAATGTTTGTGTTTTTAAATTTTCTTCAGTAAATATTACATTTAAATCAACAATAAAATTAAGATATTTGATTACTTTGTCTTATGGGATTTGTTTTTATTAAAATGTGTGTATTTGAGGAACTAAACCTTAATTTTGGGTAATCAGTAGGATTATGATTTTTTTCATATTTCAATTATGATAAATGTTCCTTTACATCAACTTAAATGCTATTTTCGTAATCTGCAATCAACAAATTAAAATAGCTTTATGATTAATTCAAGTTCAAATTATTTTCTTGTTAATTGTTTAGTGAGTTAATTTACTGTTGAAATTTAGTGAATCCAGCAGTGCCAACTTTTATTTATTACTGGCCTTATATACCATTCCGTTTTGTTTGTGATTGCTCTCTCTCTCTCTCTCTCTTTTTTTTTCCCCCCCATAGGATGCAGAAAATGCAATTGTGCATATGGGAGGTCAGTGGTTGGGTGGCCGGCAAATCAGAACCAATTGGGCCACACGTAAACCACCAGCACCTAAAAGTACACAAGAAAGTAAGCTATGTCTGTCACATATGTTAAGATTATGGATTATTCACAAACCACTTATTTCTATATAAGATTTAATTTCTTAATATTTAAATTGTATGGGAAGACTTATTTTGTCTTGAATTTTATTATCAAAAACAATTGAGATTTGATGTATTTTGTGAAGATGTGAACCACCTGATTTTACAATCAAATCATAACATTGAGAAAAAATTATATTTTCTTCTTCCTGAGGTGTATCTTAACAGTATATAAATAATTAGTAAGACTATGTGTGTGGTGCTAGTCATCGAACCCAAGACTTTGCACGTTAGGCAAATGCTCTGAGCTACACCCACAGGCCAGAAAATAATTTTATAACATTGTATAGCAGTCAGTATTTTTCTTTTCTTTCTGCATGTAGATAACACTAAGCAGTTGAGATTTGAAGATGTAGTAAACCAGTCAAGTCCAAAAAATTGTACTGTGTACTGTGGAGGAATTGCTTCTGGGTTAACAGGTACAATGTTTGCTTTCCTAGTCACTTTCTTTGTGGGGCTTCATTGTTATTAGTATGAATTTTTAAAATACTTTTTAGTTATCAGTGGACCTTTATTTATTTATACATGGTGCTGAGAATTGAACCCAGTGCCTCACACATGCTAGGCAAACGTTCTACCACAGAGCCACAACCCCAGCCCTATTAGTATGAATTTTATGATGTATAAGAACCCTAAATATTATATTCATATGTTTTATAGATCAGCTTATGAGACAAACATTTTCACCATTTGGACAGATTATGGAAATAAGAGTTTTTCCAGAGAAAGGCTATTCATTTGTCAGGTAATAGTCTATTTGTAATATCATTATTAATCTTATATTTGATTTACTCCTACACTTGTGTTATTTGACCCTGTCAAGGAATCAGGTTTTTATTTTAGTATTTCTTTACAATATAGAACTTCTAACTACATGATGTAATTTAAGGGAAATACCAATTTATAGTAATGAACTAATGAGTTTCTGTATTAAGTTCTTAAAAAAAAAATAAGACAAACATGATTTTTTTTTTTCTCTTAGATTTTCAACCCATGAAAGTGCAGCCCATGCCATTGTTTCAGTGAATGGTACTACGATTGAAGGACATGTGGTTAAATGCTATTGGGGTAAAGAATCTCCTGATATGACTAAAAACTTCCAACAGGTAATTGGATTTTTCATAGTACTTTTTAAGGTTCCATCTTATATATCTACAATACAAGCTTTGGAAACTAAAATAAACAGTAAATAAAATAAAGCATATATCTACTTTCAGTTGATTGTATTAATGCTATTTCAAAATTGATTTTGCGGTATTAACTGAATCTTAATACTTTCTTTTCACAGGTGTCACCACCCCAATAAACTTAGACAATGATAAATAACAGAGTCCTATTCACATAAGGGTGCTTACTTAGTTTTTCTCTTCCTTGTCTCCCACTCTTTCTTCAAATACGGTGTTTCTTACTTGTTTCTTAAAACAATAATTTGCTTTTTTCTAGGTCGATTATAGTCAGTGGGGCCAGTGGAGCCAAGTATATGGAAACCCACAACAGTATGGACAGTATATGGCAAATGGGTGGCAAGTACCGCCTTATGGAGTGTATGGACAACCATGGAATCAACAAGGATTTGGAGTAGAGTAAGTTGTTTGGGTTTTTCCATTGTAGACACAGAATATAGTTCTGACAAAAGAAATTTAAAAATGTATTTTTCTAGGGATGATCTATTTAAACTGTGTATATTGAGGTATTTGGATTATAAACATAGAAATAAATGTACTGAAATGTGATTTATAATGTTAAAAAATTACTTCTCTTTACCTAGATGGAAAGGGAGGTTAGGGGTAACCTATTAGTATAACCTGTCTTTGTAAGCAGATGGTAAAATTTGACTTAACATTTCCAATGATACTTTTATTTGTCTATTTTTGTATGTATAAAAGATTTTTTTCTAGATAAATTTGGAAGTTTGATGATTTTATGCCATTTGGCATGTGTGAGAAATCCTTCAAATAATGTGATATAAAATATCTTACATTTTATTGTTGTTGATAGAGTGGGTTGGTTCTCCCAAGTTTTTCCCCCAGGCCAGCCCAGACCTTTACTTTTACTGGTTCCTTCTTTTGAGACTCTTTCCAACTTGAACTTGAGTTTTTAAATTTTCTTATAAATTCGTAGATCATATATGCATTTTTTTAAAAAATCACTCTTGCGAGACGTGCTTAATTATGGTGTCCTAACAACTTAAACAGTGGGATGTACATTCTATACATGTAGCATTTATTTATTTATTTTAAATATTTATTTTTTAGTTTTAGGTAGGCATGATATCTTTATTTTACATTTATGTGGTGCTGAGGATTGAACCCAGTGCCTCATGCATGCTAGGTGAGCAAGCTACCACTGAGCCACAACCCCAGCCTCTACTTGTAGCATTTATTTCTTTGATCTATTTAATAATGTAGGTTGTTGATTTCTTCTAGTTGTTTATTCTGTGATTGGACTGCTTAATTTTTCTATAAATGTATAGATGATTTTTTTTTTTTTTTTTTTTTTGTCTTGTGTTTGCTGAAGATTTTTTTTTTTTCTTCCAAGTCAATCACCTTCTGCTGCTTGGATGGGTGGATTTGGTGCTCAGCCTCCCCAAGGACAAGCTCCTCCCCCTGTAATACCTCCTCCTAACCAAGCTGGATATGGTATGGCAAGTTACCAAACACAGTGAGCTGGGACTCTAAACAAAATTGTAATTCATGATAGGCTTCGATTTCCTGTGACACTCTGAAGACATGAAAGTAGACATCGGAAAATGAAAATATTTATTTTAAAAATTGAAATGTTTGGAACCTTTAGCACAGCTTTGCTTTGGTGAAGGACACATGTCTTCTAGTTCTGCCTTTTTAAGTTTTTGTTCATGATGGATATGAACATGATTTTTCTTTGTGTACAAAAACTAAAATAAAGTCAATAAAGACAATTCTGACTACAAATTTTGATATAATAAGAGAAATGGGTAAATACATTTTGATTCTTAGATACTATTCCATTTTTATCTTATTGTTCAGTATTTTAACTCACTGTGTTTTTAAACGAGCAAAAAAGGGAGGATCTTGAAAAACTGGGAATCACATAATTTCATCCTGAATCCTGATACTCCCCTCCCCTACCCTGAGGTGGACCACATTTGAAGTCAGCAGAAAAAAGTGTGATATTCAGAAGAAATGCATGATTTTGGAGTCGCTTTGGAGGAATATTTACTTTATGCCTAAAAGAAACTGAAGCCAGACTGAAATTTTGCAACCTAAATAAGGAACAGCGTTGTCTGAGTTCCTTGAGCAAATGTTGGTTGGTCCTCATTAAGACATATTTTTAAAACTTCAGAAAGTGTTATTAAAACTGTAGTATATTACATTTCGTTTTGGGGAGAAATTCCAAGTATGGTGTTTGTATTAAAGTCAGACAGTCATACTTGTGCTTTTACATGAAGTTTAAATGATATACATTGTAAATATTGAATACAGTGTTTAAAAAGCATGCTTCAACATAGAAGTAGCAGCAATGTAATTATTTGAAGTAACACTTAACATACTCCACTGCATTGAATGCAGTGGATTGATAAGAATGTTAAAGACTGACATTTCCAAGGTTGGCTATCTATGTAAAATTAAAATGACACAAATTATTACACAGAAAAGGCCTTAATTTTAATTCAATATGAATCTTTGATGGATTAGTACATTCTAAAATGTCACTGGAAATTAGATTTTCGTTCTTTGCTTATACATTATTTGGTATGTAAATACCTTGATTAAAACCTGTAAAACAGTTTCAAGGTTCCTATAAGTTGTATAGCACAAGTGTTTTTTAAAAATCTTGGGGTGTTTTTAAAAATTAGATATATTTTGCCCAAGAATTTTTTTAACAAGATTGCTAAAACATCTTATTTAGACAGTTTGATGTACCAATTTATAATTGGATATTCAGTTTAAATAGTACACAAAGTTGTGACTTTTATTTTTGATTAATTTTTTTTTCTTGTGGGGAGTGTGCATGGGATAACAAGCCTGGATAGAGGCTTGAGCTGTATGTGTGCAGTTTGTAAATGAATCAACTGGAAAGATGCAGAAAAGGTTGAGGTTTGTTCCAAGGTATTTTTCAGTCTATGTGGATAAAATCTGCCTCAAATTTCTATAAAACAGGAATGTAAAATAGACAAAATCTTATGTGTTTAAATTGTGACAGCTAGGGGGTGCACATGTTTTGGCAATGTATTCAAATATTGGTCTGGGCAATTGAGAAAATAGCCTTTTACAGTTAAGTAGTATGATGTAACTGGCATTCACAAATTGCCATTTTTTAAACCTTTGAGGTCTTATAATTAACTTGAAAATAATGATGATTTTATATATTGACGACCACAATTATTTTGGTATTACTTTCTTCCTTTTCCCATTTAAAAATATAGCCAAGTGTATATTCAGCATAAAAATACACAGGGTCTGAAGTTCATCTTTGAGCCAAAATTTTTAAAATACCTTAGTTTTAACCACCATATTCATCTTTTGCACTTTTATTAGTAAATATAGCTTTGTTTCTTTTGCTCATGCTATCTTGGGGGAATGTTGTTTTGGAAAAGTTACTTTATATTTTTAGGGAGACACTTAAGAATTCACATCGATTATGTTCCTGAGTTAAAATGTTCATGAATATTTATGAAACTTGAATAACTAAAGACTTTTTTAACTTGATAAATGCCCACTAAACTTCCAGGTTGTTTTTTTTTTTTTTTTTTCCTCTGCCAGTAAATTAAGTGGCTTATAGAGATAATGAACAGCTAAGTTTGGCTGCAATGTTTCCTGGTTTGTATATTGTGACTTAATTAAATTATCCAAACTAGTTATATTGCCACGGTAAGCGCCTGACTGAATTGTCCTCCATCTTAATCTGGATGAAAATATGATTTCATGATCAGTTAATTGAAGTTGTTTCATATTAAACAATTTTAAAGCATAAAACTACTTGTCTGAAAGATGCACCATTTAGAAAATGCAACTGTCAAGCTTACAGACTATTTTCTAACACAAATTGAAGTCAGCGCTATTTTAATCCAGTTTGAGCCTAAGAATCGTTGTCTTTTCTTTCCCATGTTCATTAAAAACAGCAGCAGAGATTCTTTGGCATGCAATGAAATGTTTATTATTTCGAAATTATTTCAAGATTTATTTTGATGATGTGTTTCTGCCTGCCATCTTCTTTGCTTAAATTATCTCTATCAGTATTTCCCCCATGCCATTCCCATTTGGTTTTTATTTTTATGTCTACTGGCAGTGAGAGGCTAAAATGACTGGCCAACTAAAGCCAAAGCTGTAAACCACAGTTAAAGTAAGTCTTTCAATAAAGACTAGACTATATGATAAGTGGCTTTTTCTTATTGTCGTTTATTACATAATTGTATTTTCTAGCCTACCATGAAATAAGCAATTTGGTTTTAAGTTCAGTAAGATATAAGAAGTACATATATACTCAGGATTTATTTCTATGTTCTGTGTATGTATTTAAAAGGACATTAGCCTTGTTGAATTAAATTTTAATCTGGATATGGAAGAATAGAAATTTGCATCCTTCTCATGTGTTCTGTTGAAAATTATAGTAAAATTTCATTAATTTGGGGCCCACAAATAGGGAACATTTTAACTTGACTAGGCTGATCCTTGGTAGCATCTATGTAAAAATCATGCTTGACAATTAAAAAGTGTGAGGGGGTTGCGGATATAAAGGGTCTAGACACTTATGACTTTTTGTTGTTGTTTGGGATTTTTTTTGTTTTTGTTTTGGGTGCTAAGATTGACCAGGGTGCTTTTTCACTGGGCTACATCCCCAGTAATTTGTATTTATTTATTTATTTATTTTTAATTTTGAGATAGGGTCTTGCAGAGTTGCTGAGGCTGGTCTCAAGTATGCGGTCTCCTGCCTCAGCCTCCTGAGTTGCTTGGATTATAGGTGTGTGCCACTGTACCTGCCTAGCTGTACTAGACACTTGAATTAGGTATGCCTCACTTAAGTCTTCCAGCATCTGGGCTTCTACTTAATACATTATAAACATTAACTGTATTTTTGGTATGTTTGTAAAGATGTAAAAACTTTTTTAGTCTTTTACTAGTTTTTAAGAGCCTTTATTTACTTTTTATAAATAACCTTATTTTATTTATTTATTTTTTATGTGGTGCTGAGGAACAAGTCCAGTGCCTCACACATGCTAGGCAAGTACTCTACCACTGAGCCACAACCCCAACCCCTTTATTTACTCCTTAAGTGGTTCAAATGAGTGAAATTTTGTTTAAATATATGTTTAGTGATAAAATATTCTAGTAATTATGTTCATATAGGTTATATAATTTATATTGCTATTCATTCCATTTTTTAAATAAAGAAATAATGTGAGTAATTATAGCTTTACAAATATGTTGGTGCAGTGGTGCATGCTGGTAATCCGTCTTGGAGGCTGAGATGGAAGGATCAAAAGTTCAAGGCCAGCCTCAGCAATTTAGTCAGGCCCTAAGCAACTTAGTGAGACTTTGTCTCAAAACAAAAAGGGCTGGGGATGTACTTCAGTGGTAAAGCACATCTGGGTTCAGTACTAAAAAAAAAAGTGGCAAAGTAGTGTGGCGTCTAAATGCTATATATATAT